CAATATCTCTTCCTCCTCTTCTTCAGTTTGGTTGTTCACTGGTTGATTGTTTTTCCTCCTGTTACTAGTAACAGTTGTTGTTTTTCCCATGTTAATTTGTTTGTAGCTGTTAGTGCTAACCCTTTCTATTCATGCTGCCTCATTTACTCGTCCAGTAATTTGTCCAGTAATTAAGAGATATCTGAAGACACCTTGGGACAGGATCTGGAAAATGCATCAATTCTGATTAGCAAAGTTTTAAACTTGGTTTGTGGTTTATTTGTTTTTTTTTCCCCTTCAAAGCTTCTATGTATTTTATTTATTTTTTTGTTCTTGCCAGATCAACACATTAGCACTGAGAGGGGGCACCAATGTCAAAGAGAGTGTTTGGGGGATGATGAGCCATGTCATGACAAATCCCCTTGCACTTAAAATCAATTGGAGAGGAATCAGTGGGAAGGCTGCATTCCACCGAATGGTGTTAAAGGATGTTATAACAAGTAAATTAATGTAGTTTGTATGTGTGTGGGTGTTTGCTTTTTGGCTATTGAAGAATTCAAGAAAATAGATTATATAGTACATTTAATAAGAAATGTTTTATTTAAAGGTGCAGTAAGACAAAATAGACTGACTAGCTCTGCAAGCGACATGGAGGTTGAGGCTGCCATAAAACGGTTGGTACTCTTTCAGTGTCCCACCCCAAACTCTTTCATATTTACATGCAGTACTATTTTAGAGCACACTTTGTATCAGTGTGTTAATATTAATTTGTAAATTGCCTTAACAGGTGGTTGCATCTTGCCTCTGACCGTGATGGAGGGAGGAAAGCTCATGAGGGTCAAGCTGGTGTTGCTGCACACAGTCACCAAATTTGACGGATGTTATGCTATACCCAAGGACTTCTGCTTTATCACCTTCATTTCACACAGACACGAAATCTTGTTGGCTGAACTGTTCACTGTTTTAAATTTACCACACCTGTTTGAGTGTTTGTCCAAAAGGTTTATATGTTATTGCTGTTCATAAAAAATGTTAAATTTTATCTTTAAATGCAAACTTTTGGAAAAAATATTATTTGCAGTTTTGATGGATACTATGCTGTTAATTGCTATTTGTGAATTAAAGCACAATCCTGTGAACTGGGATAAACTGTGGAAGTACTGTAAGTCATAAATCATTTAACATAAATAATGGGAATGTTTTATTAGTTTTTTAGCTTAACATATGTTTCTAAAGGTAATGATTAAGGGTGCTTTCACACCTACAGCGTTTAGTTCGATTGAATCGAACTATAGTTCATTTTCCCTCTTGGTGCAGTTCGTTTTGTCTGGTGTGAACACGGTAATCGCACTCGAGTGCGCACCAAAACAACTGCACCGAGACCCCCAAAATGAGGTGGTCTCGATCCGCATCATCTAGGGAACTTTGGTGCGGTCCTCCTGGTGAGAACGCGTACCGAACCAAAACGGGACCAAAGCCCGTGAACCACATGATTTAGGGCATTGGATTATGGGTAGATTTTATTTCCGGTCACCCAAAACATGCACCAGGATGAATCGTGGGCAAACTGTACGACTTGGTTTAAGT